GCTTCACCCCATAGCCATCCTCCCTGCCGTCAGGACTCCAGCCGACAAGGCAATCCACAAGGAACCCCAGGTGCTCCCCTCCTAACCCTGCCTTCTCACCAGCCACAGAAGAGGTTTACTTCTTTCCAGTTTCACTTCCTTCTGCTTTTCTTCCCACCTGAAATCATGGAGTGAGGTTGATTACTCAACCTACCCAGCTGTCTTAACCAGATCCAAGACTTACCAATACTGTGTGAATCTGGGCAAGTTTCTCAGCATGTTTTTGTTTTTCTTAAGATTTATTTACTTTTAGGGCCTATCAACTAAAGTCCTCACCTTGAACGCACCTGGATCCCATATGGGCGCCGGTTCTAATCCCGGCAGCTCCACTTCCCATCCAGCTTCCTGCTTGTGGCCTGGGAAAGCAGGTGAGGACAGCCCAAAGCTTTGGGATCCTGCACCCACGTGGGAGACCCGGGAGACATTCCTGGTTCCCGGCTTCGGATTGGCGCAGCACCGGTTGTTACGGCTCACTCGGGGAGTGAATCATCGGATGGAAGATCTTCCCCTCTGTCTCTCCTCCTCTCTGTATATCTGACTTTGTAATAAATAAATAAATAAATCTTTTTAAAAAGATTTTTTTAAAAAAAGATTTATTTACTTTTAGTAGAAAAGAAGATTTACAGAGTGAAGGAGAGAAAAAGATCTTCCATCTTCTGGTTCATTCCCCAAGTGGCGATAACGATTGAAGCTGAGCTGATCCTAAGCCAGGAGCAGGGAGCTTCGCCTGGGTCTCCTATACGGGTGTAGGGTCCCAAGGCCTTGGGTCATCCTTTACTGCTTTTCCAGGTCACAAGCAAGGAGCTGGATGGGAAGTGGAACAGTAGGGACATGAACTGACAAAAATATGGGATCCCAGCACTTATAACATGAGGATTTAGTCGTTGACCTATAGTGCCAAGCCCTAAAAAGAAAAAGAAAAAAAAGGAGGGGTAAAAACTTGTGGAGGCTAAATTAAAAAGGCATATGCATTTAGACAATCACAGCCCATATCAGTGTCTAGGTCTGAATCTGTTAAGAGGGCTTTGGAGGAAGGGGAGCAGTCAATGACACTTCAAGTACATGGGTGCTGCTGTCCACATGGGAGATCTCTGAGTTCACAGCACCTGCCTTCTGCTTAGCCCAGTCCTGGCCACTGCAAGTTTTCAAAGAGTAAACCAGCAGACGTTAAGGCCTTTGTCTATTTTTCCCTCTGCCTTTCAAGTAAAAATAAAAACGAAAACTATCATAAAAAGAAAAAAAAAAATGTAACGTAAACTGCACTTTTTCTTTACTTATTCACTGTATTAATATATTGCCTGGCCCCATGGGACATGAAGGTTCTTCAAAAAGTTCATGGAAAATGGGTTTGAAAGATGTCCTTTTATTGTTTTGTTTTGCTTTACAAAAAAGAAGAAACAAAAACAAAACAAAAAATTTTTCTACCATTAAGTAACACAGATTCCAAAGCTGTTTGCACAAACCTAGGATTTAATTCCATTTCCACAAACTTTTCGGAGTTCCCTCACGTTATCCCCTCATTCAGAAATGGACTCAATTTTCTCTAGTCTCCCCCCATGGCCTTAATAACGTAGATCCTGTAAAGATGGGAGTAGCAATGTTGGTTGGTCAAAGGGTGCAAATTCAGAGTTACAAGATGATATCCAGGGTCTCTAAGGAAGCGTAGGGTTGTGATGAGTAAATTTGCGCCATCATAACAAAATGAATATGTGTAACAGATCATCACATCTTATATCTTGAAGGGAAGGCAGAGCAAATACATCCTTAGTACTCCATCGTTTCATCCCAGTTGATGGTGGGTTCACTTCCCAAGGAAAACACCCAGTATCTATAACCCTCCCCTTCCCTCCAGTCTCCCTTTAACACAGAAAATGTCCATTTTGCTGAGCTGGACTAGGCTGAAACCCCCATCAGCATGAGCTGAAGCTGGGGACAGACAGGGTTAGGCCAGGCTACAGCACATGCCAACAAATGCCAAGGTGAGGCAGGCCATGCCAGACTGGGCCTCAGCTCCCACCAGCACATATGAGACCCAGTGGGGGTGGGTGGGCACAACCCGGTAGGGGAAGCTATGGGGTGCTGCCCTGCTGGACCACTGCTCCTACTCTTGAGTTGGAAAACTGGGATCAGGGGCAGACCAGACCAAGCAGGGCTACAATTCTTGTTGGCCTGCACCTGAGCTGGGTAAGAGAGTTGGGCTGGGTTAACTGACTGTACCCAGTGGTACATAGGCCAGAGTAAGAGCAGGCTAGTTGGGCTTTGTCACATCAGCTGGCAAGTGATGGGGCTTGGGGAAAATCCTGTCAAGCTAGACTGCATAACCACCCGGAGAATGAAAGATCTGGGAATTGGAGTGGGCCCAGGAGGAAAACTGGGCATCTCTCTGATGGGTTGTAACTCCCACTGGTGAGCATGAGAACCAGGGCAGGGGGTGGGCCTGGCTAGACAGGTGGTGGCATCCACTGGTATGACTGTGGGCTAGATAGTTGGGTCAGTTGGGTTGAGCTAGGCTTCAATACCATTGATGTGTAAAGCGCTGTATGGGATGCGAGACAGACTAGACCAGTCCGTTACACATACTGGCAAACACAGGCTAGTGGAGGTTACTCCATCTAGGCTGCAGCTCCCGCTGACGTACATGAGGGCGAGTGTGTGGTGGGCAGGGATGGGTTGGGCCACAGCATCCATTGATTTACCTAAGAGACAGGGCTGGAGAGAAAACTGACCCAGTAATTGCAACTGCCAGTGTGTGCATAAGCCGATGTGGGTGACGGGCTGCCGGAGTCCATACTGGCAAGCACCCACGAGTCAGGTTGTGAATTACCTTAGACAAGGTTTCTACAGGGATTTACCCCCACTGAACCACTGAACGCAGAACTCCAACCATGCGGAGAATCGCAGGATCTGTGGTCTGACCGTGGAGTGCATGTGTCAGAGCCAGGCCTCCTCAAGTCATTTAGACCAAGCAGTGGACAAGCATACCCAGGTGCACATGGAGGATATGGCAGTCCATTAGCCCCTACAGAGGACATCTGGCACCATAGCAGAGGAAGGAGGGCAGAACAAATTATACAGCTACCCCAGCCAATGACAGGAAAGAACTGGGTGAGTGTAGACTCTAAGGTCAATTATGTCAGCCGATGATCATTGGAAGTTTCCTCATCCTTGGATTGGCGAGATTGACAGCATTTCACAACTATCAAAATCACTTGGGGGCCCAGTGCGATGGCCTAGCAGCTAAAGTCCTTACCTTGAACGCACCGGTTCCAATCCTGGCAGCTCCTCTTCCCATTCAACTCCCCACTTGTGGCCTGGGAAAGCAGTTGAGGATGGCCTAAAGCCTTGGGACCCTGCACCAGCATGAGAGATCTGGAGGAAGACCCTGGCTCCTGGCTTTGGATTGGTGCAGCACTGGCTGTTGCAGCCACTTGGGGAATCATTGGACGGAAGATATTTCTGTCTCTCCTCCTCTCTATATATCTGACTTTGCAATAAAAATAAATCTTAAAAAAAAAAAAAAAAAACCCACTTGAGCAGAACCCTTGGAGCATCCTCCACATGGGGGCCCTGGGATGACATCAGGTGGCCGCTGTCTATCCCTGAATACTGAGGCAGTTGGGAGGCTGGGTGCAGCTTTTCCCCTCATCTCCCTCCTTTCCCAGATAGAGGATAGAAAAAAAAATTTGGAAACAATGGTCTTACCCGCTTTCCTCTAATTCTCAACCCCCTCCACCATAATCAACTATGTAAACATCATTAAACATAAACTTTAAAAAGGAAAAAGAAAATGTCCATTTTAGGATCACTCCCATTCTAGCACAAGCCAATGGAAAAAAGCTAAATTAAAAACTGTCAGGGCCCAGGACGGTAGCCTAGTAGCTAAAGTCTTTGCCTGGCATGAGCCAGGATTCCATACAGGCACCAGTTCATGTCCCAGCTATTTCCCTTCCAGCTGCCTGTTTGTGGCCTGGGAAAGCAGGTGAGGACGGCCCAAAGCCTTGGGACTTGGCACCCAAGTGGGAGATCTGGAGGAAGCCCCTGGCTTCTGGCTTTGCAGTGGTTCAGCCCCAGCCATCAAGGCCATTTGGGCAATAAACCAGTAGATGGAAGACTTTTCTGTGTCTCCTTTCCATAAATCTGAATTTCCAATAATAAAATCTTAAAAAAAAAAAAAAAGTAACTATCAGGAACCAGTAACTATCAGTGCTGTGGCCAAGCAGGTAACGTTGCCACCTCCAGCACTGGTATTGTATGTGGGCACCAGTTCGGGTGCTGGTTGTTCCAATTCTGATCCAGCTCCCCGAGAAAGCAGCAGCAGATGGCTCAAATGCTTGCAGCCCTGCACCCACATGGGAGACCTAGAGGATCCTCCTGGCTCCTGGTTTCAGAACAGCACCATCTCTGACCATTTCAGGAATAAACCAGTGGATGGGAGATCTGTCTCTCTATCTCCCCACTTCCCTCTATTTTAGCCCGGCGGCGTGGCCTGGTGGCTGGGGTCCTCGCTTTGAATGCGCCCAGGATCCCATGTGGGCGCCAGTTCTAAACCCAGCAGCTCCACTTCCCATCCAGCTCCCTGCTTGTGGCCTGGGAAAGCAGTGGAGGATGGTCCAAAGCCTTGGGACCCTGCACTCGCGTGGGAGACCTGGAAGAAGTTCCTGGATCCCAGCTTCATATCGGCACAGCACTGGCAGTTGCGCTCACTTGGGGAGTTAATAATCGGATGGAAGATCTTCCTCTCTGTCTCTCCTCCTCTCTGTATATCCGCCTTTCCAATAAAAATAAAATAAATCTTATATATATATATATAAAACTTAAGGGGGAAAAAAATGTAGCTAGTAAGAGTATGGAAGGAAGGATATCCTTAATCTCTTAGTAAATGGTTACCAGGAAGTTTGGATATTCGAGTCGCTTGAGCAGTCCCCATCATCTTCACACAGAACTTCAGGAGTTAAACAAACTCAATGTGAAAAATAAACATTTATTACAAAAAATTAAGTTCTGACATTCTAAAACGGAGCAGACAAGGTGTTTTCCAACTGCAAGGGGGCTCTTGCAAGCCAGAGAGGTGAATTCCAGGGCTGGCTCCAAGTGACTCATTCACACCACAAATCGCTTTGCAGGTAAGGAACCAACACTTAGAGAAGTCAGGACCCATCTGCTCTCCCCATGGCTTCTCCCCTCTCCCTCCCACCCAGTCTCACAAGCAAGACACACAACCAGAACATATTTCAAAATTCTCATCCCTACTGAACCATACCATGATTTCCTTTTTACTTATTGGCTTGGATTTTATTTCCTGTGGAAATATTTTTTTTTTTGCTCCTGGTGCATGACCCTTAGTTTTGTTGTTTTCTTTCTTGTCAGTTTGTTTTTGCTTTTGTATTTTTAATAGAAAGCTCAAATTCTGCTAGGGGTTCTCAGATAGAGGTACAGTACATGGCGAAGTGGCACTCACGCTCCACAGAAAGAAATGAGATGAAGTCCACCCTTTATTTGCCCTCTTGCTCCCTAATAAATAGATTGAGGAACTGTGGAAGGTGGAAATAGAAATCTAAGGGGCAGAGAAGGTTCCTGATGGGAAGGGAATGAGGTAACCAATGACAACCAGTCCCGTCCTATTTAGCATGCTCTATTCTCTCGTGAACCCCACCCACCAAATAAAGCACTAGTTACTAGTTCAAACTACAGAAGTTCTCCAAATGATCTGAGAAATCCTCGCTCGGCCCTGATGCAGCTATGTCTATAGCCTCAGAGAAGCCCATTAGTAAACTTGGCTGGGCAGGTAGAAGGAGGGGACAGTCTCCTGCCACAGGGAAAGCACAAGGCCAGAACAGGGCATCAGCTTCACCCTCAAGGACCCTCATCGAGCCGGAGGAAGGCCTGGCTGTTAGAGGGCTCCAGGAAGCAGCCCTGCCTTGAGACAGGAAACAGGAAGTGGGGCACGACAGCACCCTGGGAACCAGCCCCAGGCTGCTAGGATGATGTCTTCCTGTTTGCACAGAGGAGCTCAGGGATGCTCCGAGTTTTCTTGTCTCCAATTTCCCACAAAAAGAACCTTTGACAAGTCAACTTTTTATTTCTGACATCCAGTTAACATAAACATACAGAAACACAATCGCACTGAAGAGCAAAGATACCCTCCAACTTCATCCAATTTCAGCACATAGCTAACACACACACACACACACACGCACAAAGGGACTCTGCCAACACTGCCATACACACATACACACACACAGAGGGACTCTGCCAAAACTACCATACACACACACACACACACACACACACACACGCACGGGCTCCACCAATACTACCATACCCAGTCCCACGGACACATCTTAAGAGGATCTGTCCAGTTGTTCCAGCCCAGGGAAGGGGAACGACCTGAGCCATCAACTCCAGCTCGCTTTCCTTTTGATCAGTAGTTTGAAATTTTTCTCACTCCATGTCCCCTGAGCGTTTATCATGCTCTCCGCAACAAAAGCTCAGGCTTTCCTACAGGCACAGTCTGCTTATGTTCAGGCATGGGACCGGACTGAAGGTTCCTCGTGGCACTTCCAGTGAGGAGACAGCAGGGTGGGCTCCAGACATCGTCCACCAACAACCGTTGCAGCAGCTCCAGCTTCCCATCCCCACTCCAGAACAGCTGACGCTGGCCCTCATCAGGAGGAAAACCTATGCAGAAGCCACTGCAGGCCAAGTGGGTGGTGACTGCAGATTTCGGGGAGCCCCGTCACTCCCACTACTCCCAATGTCTGCTTAGAAGAGAGTCAACAGGAACACCCAGGATTCCTGCCTGATCCCTTGTAGGACAAAGAAAGAGGACTTGAAGCAGCCTCAGGCCACTTGGCTGCAGCAGGAGTGGAAGAGAGGGCACAAGGGAAAAAGGGGCACGTGCTGACATTATTAAAAAAACACATCCTAACTGAGATGACAGTGGGGGACCGTGGGGTGTAGAAGACAATGTAAGGCATCCTGTGAAAACTACAGATGTCAGGGGCCAGAGTCTAGTAGCACCGGAGTAAGGCAAGCACTGAGGACAGGAGAGGAGCCAGACCAGAGTCACACCAGGAATGATGAGGTCTGTTTGAATTCACCCTGGAGGGAAAAAAAAAAAAAAAACAGTCAACTCTGTAGTTTTTTCAGCCAATAATCCCCCAAATACCTCCCTTCCCCACAGCATTCTACTCACCTCACTTCGGGCAGTAGGCTGGCTGTAAATGACCTTCTTACTGGAGGTCCTGTGGATAAGATCAAAGATGAAGACTCAAGTCCCCCACGTGCTCTGACCTCTCCTTACCAACATCAGAGGCCAGAACCAAGAACTTTAGGGAAGGGCTCAGCAGGGAGGTTGCACAAAAGGAGACAGGACAAGCCCAGGGCCACTACAAACAGCAGAAAAAATCCCAAAGTCTTCCCTACAAGCCGACTGCCTCCCTCTCCAGCCCATTCCCCTGTGCCCACACTGCAAACCACAGGCATGCGTGTTCTCAACTTCAGCAGATCCCAAGACAGCCTTCCTTCCACTCACCCTTTCTTTGTTCCTGGAAGAGGAGGGAAAAAAATGGTATCAGGAGTGTCAGCAGGGCAGAAGACAACATGGCACAGGTGATGGCAGCTGTTATGTGGCACCTGATATATGCTATCAAGTAACCCATGCTCTTTACGGGAAAACACCCACACCCAAAGACAAAGTGCCAGAATCGGTACTCAACACCCATGAACCAATGGCTGGGCCAGTGGCAATGCAAAGGATGGCCTTCAGGGGTGGACACTTACTGTCAAAGTAGCCTCGGCTATAGGCATACCAGATGCCTCCAATCAAGAGTCCAAGGAGAATCAGTGTCACCAGGACAGCTGCCACGATGCCCCCCACATTCAGTTCCACTGTGAAGCACAAACAAGAGGTCAGGCCCCCGAATGCTCACCCTTGGTACTAACAACATCACTACGCCAGGTCTAAACCCAAGCCCCTACCACATTGTCACTCACCAGCATCCATGCGTACAGCATCTGACATCATAGGTGACCCAAAACCATTCTGTGCCTGACAAGTGTATTCTCCAGTATCAGAGGCTGACACGGGATCAAAAATCTAAAAAAAAAAAAAATTGGTTTTCTGCTTAAAAAAGCCAAGAACTTGTCTTCGATGTCTCCTACCCTGACTTGTTCAATTTGTTGCTTGCTCAGCGATTCCCACACATCTTCCACTCCCATCCATACCAGCTCCCCTGTCTTGGGGTCCAGAGTATAGGAAGAGTTGCTGAAGGCACGGTTGTTCTTGGGATCTGTAGGCATCACTGTCCCATCCTTAAACCAAGTGTATTCTGAGGGTGGGGAACCATCTGGTTCTGAGCAAGTCAGCACTGCCCGGTTCCCAATGGTGGCGGATGAAGGGATGTTGACTGTAGGCTTGGATGGGGGCACTAGGAGAGAGAGAAAGAGGAGCTGACACAAGGGTAGGGAGTGTTGCTTGAACATAAGTCACAGCCTAGGATGACATCGCATCCAATCGCTGTAGCTATCCCTCCCTTAATTTATACCCAGCCAGGCAACATGGGGCAATACTGACTCCAAATTTGACACCACAGGCACCCTGACCATCAATGGGCCCCAGAGTTTAGCAGGGTCTGGAAAGCACTGAATTTCAGGCTCATACAGATCTGTACACGTACCAAGCACAGTGAGCTGGATGGTGACCTCCCCATAGTTGTTGCCGTTATCCTCAGAAACCATACAAGTATACGTCCCGGTGTCTTTCCGGGTCACGGTACTGAAGCTGATGCCACTTGGCGAGAAGGTAACTCGATCCTCATAGGAAGCTACCAAGAGGGAGAAAGCAGAGGCAGAGCAGAGTGAACTGAAAGCCAAGAGAAGCTGATGAAGACGGCACAAGGTGTATACAGGTCCTCCTCTCCCTCCACAAAGGGGAAGAGAAGGCCAAGGAGACCTGGCCTTCCCCTGGAGCCCAGGCGCAAACCAAGCGTGGAAGGAGATAGAACAACTTACCTGTGATCTTGTTGTTGTAGCAGACAAGACTTGTGGTTGAGCCTTGCACAAATTTCCACTCCACACGGGGATTGGAGAAGCCAGAGTAGGTACAGGGTAGCTTGACGGCTACACACAGGGCCAACAGGAGAAGATGGGAATGGCCCCCATAATGGATGACCTCCCAGGCTCTGGAACCCGCTCACCTCACACCCACCCTACCGCCCACTCCACAGCCCCTCCCAACTCACGTTTATTTTCTGCAATTCTGACGTCAGGTTCAGAAGTGTAGACTGTACCCTTGCCCCACACCAAGGAGCCTGAGAATGAAAGATGGGGAGACCCATTAGACCCAGTGAACAGCTGTGCGGGAACATGCAAGCTACTCGCGGTCTCACATCCTCTCATCATGATCTTATCATGGCTTCCAGCAGGTCAGAAGTCCATCCATGGAAATCAAACACTCCTTTCTCGTGCAATTTCTTTCCTTTCAATGGTTTCTTCTATGACTCTCAGTGAGCTAATGAACATACTACTCCAAGAGCAACTCAAGAGTGGTTCAGAGGAAGCTTCTTAACCAATGATTGCAGCCATTTGTCAAGACAATCCTGGAAGGCAGCCAGCAGTGTTGGAGGCAAGGCAGGGAAAGGGAAGGCAGGAGGAGGGAGGGGAATACGCCACACTGGGGACCCTGGGTGCTTTCTAAAGGACTTTTCACTACATCACGTGAAACTGGTACACTGATCTCTGAACCAATCAAGACAGAACAGCAGGCAAAGCTGGTCACCCCAGTTTGACACAAGGAACTGAGACTAGAAGCAGCAAAGATACGTGCCTAGGACCACACCTCCCTATCTGAGGTGGAGTCGGGACTGGGCTTTCATCACTTCATAATAAATTTGCCAAGAAAACAAAAGGCACTATGGCATAGGTGGACAGGGGAAGCGAGGAGCCAGGAGGCTAATTAAACAAGATGGGGGAGGAGCATCTGGGCCACAAGATGGGTCCCAAATATGCCAAAGAACCCAGTGCCAAGAGGATTCTAGAATCACACAAAGTAGCTATAAACCAGCACAGACACGATTACCCTCATTCCTATTTTCAAAACTCAAATTCACTAAGTATACTTTTATTTATGGCTTAGAATTGGAGCCCTAGCTCTCTAGATAAGTGTGATGCCAGCCTGTCTGCTGGAGTACATTTTTCCCTTACTTACGTAACTCTGGGCTCTCAACCTCTGAGATTCCTTGTCCTCATCTGAAATGTGAGTAAGATGCACTGAAGTCCTTCAGCCTCCCCTTTGCTCCTCTTCATGTTATGTTTAGACCATGCTTTAAAATACACTCATTTCAGGGGCAAGAATTGAGGCACAGCAGTTTCAGCTGCTCATGGATGTATCGGTGCCAAGACCCAGCTGCTTCATGTCCAGTCCAGTGTCACCAACATGCCTGGAATCAGGAGATGCTGGCCCAAGACGGAGGAGACCCAGTGGGAGTCACAGCAGATGGCTTCAGCCACTGTGGCCACTTAGGGAGTGAACCAGTCTGTAACTCTGCCTTTCAAATAAAATATGTCTTAAAAATTAATAAAACTTGGGCCCGGCACGGTGGCGCAGGTGGTTAAGGTCCTCACCTTGCACGCCCGGGGATCCCACATGGGCGCCGGTTCTAATCCCGGCAGCCCCGCTTCCCTTCCAGCTCCCTGCCTGTGGCCCGGGAAAGCAGCAGAGGACAGCCCAAAGCTTTGGGACCCTGCACCCGCGTGGGAGACCCGGAAGAGGCTCCCGGCTTCGGATTGGCATAGTATCAGCCGTTGCGCTCACTTGGGGAGTGAATCATCGGATGGAAGATCTTCCTCTCTGTCTCTCCTCTCTGTATATCCGCCTTTCCAATAAAAAAATAATAAAAAAAATTAATAAAACTTATTTTAGGGCTCAGCGGCGTGGCCTAGCGGCTTAAGTCCTCGCCTTGAATGTGCCGGGATCCCATATGGGCGCTGGTTCTAAACCTGGCAGCTCCACTTCCCTCCCAGCTCCCTGCTTGTGGCCTGAGAAAGCAATCGAGGATGGCCCAAAGCTTTGTGACCCTGCATCCGTGGGGAGACCCGGAAGAAATTCCTGGTTCCTGGCTTCGGATTGGCACAGCATCGGACGGAAGATCTTCTCCCCTGTCTCTCCTCCTCTTTGTATATCTGACTTTGTAATAAAAAATAAATAAATCTTTAAAAAAAAAAACTTATTTCAATCTGACATAACAACACGGTAAATCTGTGCTGCTAATCATTACTTCTCTCACTACACAGATGAGGAAGCAATATGTCTCAAAACACAGCTGCTTCTCAGGGAAGTCCCCAGTTTAATGGAGATAAACTATGTAACAAAATGTCATGCTTTCAAAAGTCAGGCCCACTTTATCGATACATGATTTCCATTAGTATTACTTTGTATACTTGTCATTACTTTTTAAAAGAAGATTTATGGAAAGACAGAGTTATGGCACGGGGAGAGGGAATCTTCACCCCTTGCTTCACTCCCCAGAGACCCACAGTGGTTAAGGATGACTTGGGCCAAATCCAGGAAAGAACTTGATCTGGGACTCCCCTGTGGGTACAGAGACCCAAACACTTATACCATATTCCACTGCTTTCCCAGGTGCACCAACAGGGAAGTGTATCAGAAGTATAGTATCCGGGGCCTGGCATGGTAGGTAGCTTAGTGGCTAAAAACCTTCCTTTGCATGCACCAGCATTCCACACAGGCGCCAGTTTGTGTTTTGGCTGTTCCACTTCCCATCCAGCTCCCTGCTTATGGCCCAGGAAGGTGGTCAAGGACAGCCCAATGCCTTCGGACTCTGCACCTGCCAGGGAGACCCAGAAGAGGCTCTGGGCTTCTGGCTTCAGATCAGCACAGCTCCATTGCAGCCGCTAAGTAGCCACTTGCAGTGCTGGTTTCCACATGTGCACTGGTTTTTGTCCTGGCTACTCTATTTCCAATCCAGATCCCTGCTAATGTGCATAGAAAAGTGGAGAATTGGCCAAGTGTTTCGGCCCCTGTACCTATGTACCCCTAGCTTCGCCTGGTCTATCCCTGGCCATTGAGGCCATTTGGGGACTGATAGAACATCTCCCTCCCTCCCTTCCTCTCTTTCTCTAACTCTACCCTTTCCACAGAGCAAATCCCAGGAGCATTCCCCAATAAATTGTCTTCTGTGACAACTGACATTTCAGAGTCAGCCTCCCTGGAACCCAAGCTGCGACACCACCCAAATCTAAAGCAGCATCTAATTAAGACAAAACCAGTTTTGAACTAAAGATACACTCACTCTCTTGCTTTCTCTCTCAATACACACACACACACCACGATGTATGAATCTGATTGTTCCATTGTGTTTGACTGTAACAAAAGTGTTGCTTCACATCACCTCAGCTCATCAGATCCAAAACATGCTCAAGAAGTACTCCACATTCAAGGACACATAAAGCATACTGGATGACTGGCAGATCCCTCTTCTCATTCATTCTGACTGCCATGACCCAGCCTGGGCTTGCCTTGTTTATTTGTAAAACACAGCAGCATTCAGCTCTCCTGGATGCAGAACCACCTATGGCTGCGGTGGCCTGCCTGAGCCTAACATTCAACTCTGCATCACCTCAAGAAGCCAAGTGCAGCCTGATCACCATGCCCTCCCTATGACCCCAAACCCCCAGGACAACTCAGCCATCAGAACCCACATATCCCTTATTCTTGAGCATATAACGCCTCTGGAACTGGACTGCCTATATTCAAACCCAGACTCTCTTACTCACCAGGGTATAAACCTAAGCAAGCCCCTTAGTCACTTTGAATCTGTTTATCCATCTGTAAAGTGGGCGATATCATGGAGTTGTAGGGGAAGTGGAACAGCCAGGACTCGAATAAACGCTCATGTAGGATACCACTGCCACAGGTAGTTGCTCAACCTGCTGAGCCACAACACAGATCCACATGACCTCTGGCTCCAAAGTTTCTTTCAACAGGACAAAAAAATATAAATATTGCCTAAGAAATGCCCAAACTCCAGCCCACCCAATCTCTTCTCCCCCTAGGAAATGCTGACTATTCTAGAACCTTCACAAATGGCCCAGCAGAGCTAAGGGCTGGCTTTCTCGCAGCAAATCCCATCTACACCAGGATGGCCAGTTTTCCTGCATTCTCATTCATGTCACACTTCCCTTCCCCATCACGGCTTCCCTTTGCACGTAACTTTGAGCCTCTGTGTGCCACATTATACACATAGAAATGTCTTAACACATGTGGTCAACAGAAAGAGAAGAAAATTCCTTCTTTCCCATCGTGAAGTTTAATTTCCGCTAAGCTCACAAAAAGAAAAAACACAAAGGTAAAAGCATCAATAGGTTCTGAGCCCACGGACAGAGAAACCATCCTCCATCCCACCACCAGACCAAGAGTTCATCTTTATGCAACGCTTACAGAAACTTGTACCACCTGTGCCAGGGGATGATTTTTCCTCTGAAGGGCTTCTTTGTTTACTTATTTTTGCAAGGAATAGTGACAGAGGGGGAGCCAGTGAGTTCTTCCATCTATGTGTTCACTCCCCAAATGATGACAAAAGCCAGGACTGGGCCAGGCCAAAGCCAGGAGCCAGGAATTCCATCCAACTTTCCCATGGAAGTGGCAGGAACTCAAGAACTCATCAGCTGCTGTTTCCCAACAGCATTAACAGGGAGCTGCGCTTGAAATGGAGTAGCTGGGATTTGAACCAGCACTCCAATGTGGGATGTGGGCACCACAACGAAAGGCTTAAGACACTGTGCTGGACCCGGCGGCGTGGCCTAGCGGCTAAAGTCCTCGCCTTGATCGCACCCAGGATCCCATACGAGCGCTGGTTCTAGTCCCGGTGGCTCCACTTCCCAGCCAGCTCCCTGCCTATGCCTTGGAGGGCAGTCAAGGACAGCCCAATACTTTGGGACCTTGCACCCACATGGGAAACCTGGAGGAGGTTCCTGGCTCCTGGCTCCAGATCAGCACAATACCAGCCATTGCGGTAACTTGGGGAGTGAATCATCGGACGGAAGATCTTCCTCTATATGTCTCTCCTCCTCTCTGTATATCTGACTTTCCAATAAATAAATAAATCTTTTTTTTTTTTTTTTAAAGATTTATTTTTATTATTTTCTCATTGGAAAGGCGGATATACAGAGAGGAGAGACAGAGAGGAAGATCTTCCATCCGATGATTCACTCCCCAAGTGAGCGCAACGGGCCGATACTATGCCGATCCGAAGCCAGGAGCCTCTTCCGGGTCTCCCACGCAGGTGCAGGG